GGATGGATGGATGGATGGATGGATGGATGGATGGATGGATGGATGGAAGGAAGGAAGGAATTATTTATGCTTTGAATCCAAATGAAAAAAACTGAAGGACGTTTCAAGGTTTTTCACATCACATGCGGTACATGAGGTGGAACGAAATTGTGTACTCAGGGTCTCAGTTACACCCAAAATAGCAAAAATAAAAAATATAAAAAGAAACAAGGATCTAAGATATGCATTTAGATATACGCTAAACAAATGCTTGTTTAACCATCCATCCATCCATCCATCCATTCACTTCTGCTTATCCGGGTTCGGGTCACGGCCTAAGTAGGGAGGCCCAGACTTCCCTCTCCCCAGCCACTTGAGCCAACTCCTCCAGGGGAATTCCCAGGCCAGCCGAGAAACATAGTCCCTCCAGCGTGTCCTGGGTCTTCCTCTGGGTCTCCTCCCGGTGGGATGTGCCTGGAACACCTCACAAGGGAGGCGTCCAGGAGGCATCCTAAACAGATGCCCGAGCCACCTCAACTGGCTCCTCTCGATGTGGAGAAGCAGCAGTTCTACTCTGTCCCTCCCGAATGACAGAGCTTCTCACCCTATCTCTAAGGGAGAGCCCAGACACCCTGCGGAGAAAACTCATTTCAGCCGCTTGTATCAGAGATCTCATTCTTTTGGTCACAACCATATGCTCATGAACATAGATGAGGGTAGGAACGTAAACTGACTGGTAAATTGAGAGCTTCATCTTTTGACTCAGCTCTCTCTTCACCATGACAGACCGGTACAGCGCCCACTTCACTGCCAACGCTGCACCTATCCGCCTATTGATCTCACGCTCCAATTTTCCCTCATTCGTGAACAAGACCCAAGATACTTAAACTCCTCTATTTGGGGCAGGACCTCCTTCCGACCCAGAGAGGGCACTCTGCCCTTTTCCAGCTCAAGACCATGGCCTCGGATTTGGAGGAATTATTATTATTATTTATTATTTAATTATTTCTATAGCACTTTACACAACCATGGTGATGGTGACCAAAGTGCTTAACAAAAAACAGTACTTAAAATGACAATAGGTCAAAAGCAAGAAAACACAACATAATAGCACAAATAAAACCAGAAATGTCACCACATATTTACGTACTAAAAGCTTGTTGGAATAAAAAAGTCTTAAGCTTCGATTTAAAAGGGCCAAGTTCAGTAATCTGACGCAGATCAAGTGGGAGCTTATTCCAGAGTCGAGGTGCGGCCGCAGAAAAGGCACGGTCACCCCAGCGTTTATATTTAGTCCTTGGAACAGAGAGCAGGAGCTGGCTGTCTGACCTCAAAGATCTGGAGCGGGCGGGGAAACTTAGCATCTCAGTTATATAAGGAGGAGCAAGGCCATTCAGAGCTTTAAAAACAAATAATAAAAGTTTAAAATCTATTCTAAAACGGACAGGGAGCCAATGTAGTGAGAATAAAACAGGTGTGATGTGGTCCCATCTAGGAGTGTTGGTTAAAAGACGCGCTGCTGCATTCTGTACAAGCTGGAGGCGACTCAGTGATGACTGCGGTACACCGACATACAGAGCGTTACAATAATCGAGCCTAGAACTGATAAAAGCATGAACAGCTTTCTCCAGGTCGCGACAATTTAAAAAGGGTTTGACCTTTTTTAAAAGGCGTAAATAAAAGAATCCCGACCGGACAACAGAGGTGATATGTTTGTCAAAGTGTAAAGCCTTATCAAAGGTCACCCCAAGGTTATTCACACAGTCACTGAAGTTTATGTCCAAATTTCCCAGGCCAGTTGCATCTTTGTCACCAAATAAAATCCATTCTGTTTTACTGTCATTTAAAAACAGGAAGTTCTTGTTCAGCCAATGTTTGATTGCAGAGATGCAGTCGAAGAGAGAAAGCATTGGGTTATTGGATCCTGGCCTTAATGGTAAATAGATCTGCAAATCATCTGCATAAAAATGAAAGTGGACATTGTGTTGTCTTATAATAGATCCAAGTGGCAACATGTATAATGAAAAGAGCAAAGGACCCAAAATGGAACCCTGTGGCACCCCACACAGAAGAGGGGCTGTAGAGGAAGAGGAGCCATTGAACAAGATAGAAAAGGTTCTATCAGATAAATAGGACGTGAACCACTTCAGAGCAGTACCGCGAATCCCAACAAAATCATGGAGGCGAGACAGAAGAACAGAGTGGTCCACAGTGTCAAAGGCTGCTGTGAGGTCGAGGAGCACCAGAGCTACTGGGCATCCAGAGTCAACTGACTGAGCTATGTCGTTATGAACTTTCAATAATGCAGATTCTGTGCTATGTCGGGATCTAAAACCAGATTGAAATTTATCCAGGATTGTGCTTTTTTCCAGAAAAGGCTGAATTTGCGTAAGAACAATTTTTTCTAAAACTTTGGAGAGGAAGGATAAATTAGAAATAGGTCTAAAATTAGATAAAACCAAGGGATCAAGATTTGTTTTTTTGAGAAGGGGGCGGACCGTTGCATGTTTAAAAGCAGAAGGCATAATTCCAATGGACAAACATGAATTGAAAAAAGGAAGAAGGTAAGGACCAACAATATTAAATACCTTTTTCAATAATCTGGTGGGGAGAAAATCAGTGGGGCAGTTGGTGGGTTTAATGGATTTGACGATTTTGTCCAAGAGGGAATAAGACACTGGTTCAAACTGCTTGAATAAAGCAGAACCAGCAGAGATAAAAGAACACTCTGAAACAGAAGTAGCAGGTGTACCTGTGGCTTGTCTAACCGATGCAACTTTATCAATAAAAAAGGAGAGAAAGTTCTCACAGGTGGAGGCTGAGGCATCAGGTGAGACTGAGGTGGGTGGATTTAAAACAGAGTTAATTGTATTAAATAACACCCGGGGGCAGTGGCTACTGTTTGTGATAATGTTAGACAGAAATTGTGATTTTGCATCATTAACAGATCTCTGATACAGAACAAGAGTTCTCCTTAATAAAACCAAAGAATCATGTTGTCTGTCATGCTTCCACTGTCTTTCAGCCCTTCTACATTGTCTCCTGAGTTTGCATGCAGTAGGATTTTTCATCCAAGGCTCAGCTCTGGGTTTAGGGTGTCTGAACTTCACCGGAGCAATAGAGTCCAGGATCCCAGTGCAGGTATCAGAAAACAATGACAGGAAATCTTTGGGACACAGAGAAACATCAGGACCAACTGAATAAAACTGTGAGTCCATAAAAGCAGTGGTAAACTGTTGGGCACTGGCTGAGGTGAGACAGCGGCGATGACACCCTGCAGCCAGAGGCCTCCTGGCTGGGTGGGGGGCTGTAAATTGGAAAAAAATAGGGAAATGATCCGAGATGGCAGACTCAGAAATTTCACAGTGAGAAATGGACAGTCCATGAGAAATAATAAGGTCCAGAGTGTGGCCAAGATGATGTTTGGCGAATTCACTGATTGTGTTAAATTAAAAGAAGCTAAAAGCTTTAAAAACTCAGAAGCCAGTGGGTCAGTGGGACAACAAATACGAATATTAAAATCTCCACAAATAAAAAAACTGTCATAATTAGAAATAATATCAGCAAGGAATTCAGAGAATTCTTGAATGAATTCCTTGTTATATTTAGGTGGGCGATAGGCAACAGCACATAAAACATTCGGGGTGAGCTCAATCACAAACATCTGAAGTTCAAAGGAGGAATAAGTGATGGTGGGCAGAAGTCTGCATTTAAAATTGTCCTTATAGATAGTGGCAACACCACCACCGCGGCCTGTCAGACGTGGGGAGCTGAAGAAGGAGCAGCCCGAGGGGGAGAGATCAGAAAACGCGCTGTTATCGCCCGGTCTCAGCCACGTTTCTGTCAGCAGCAGAAAGTCCAGAGAGTTTGCGCAGAAGAAATCGTGGAGAATAAAAGTTTTATTTATGACAGATCTAGTGT